CGTTTTGTACGCTGCTTGATAAAAGGAACTTCTTTGGATCGCCTTTCCAAAGAAGAGAGTTGCGATACGCAGCGGTGCGGCCAAAAAAAAAAACGGAGAGGTAAAACTTACCACAGCATGGTGATGCAAAACGTTCAGCATTTCTTGCATTTTTGCTAGAGAATTACTAGATAGTCGAAAAAAAGAATAATAAGAAATCCGAACAACTGTTTTTTTCATTCACTGCTTTGAAGACTGTAATTATCCAGAATTTTTGACATCTTTTTTTTTCGTGAGTGATACAACAGAATATCCGAAAAATCGTGTGGACGCCAACAATTTTTTCTTGCAAGCATCTATGGATTGTTCGAACTTTAGAACGTCCTTTTGAACAATATCAACATGTTGAAAATGTCTTTATCAAATCACAGCAGTATAAGAGTCAGTACAGATGGAGGTTTGGATCATCTTAGTTTCGTTTTATCATTCAATCTTTTGAAAAGGTTGAGTTAACCGGCAAAACCTTTTCGCAATCCTTAGTGTCCATGCTCAAGGTAGTTTATTGTTTTAAGTCATATACATTCCAAAAAAATTCTGTCTTCCGATAGATTTTCTCTAAAACTGCCATTCGCGAAAATTTCTTCATGAATCATTTATGTGCTGGACATGCTATTAGGAATGCGCGAGATATAGCATAACAGTTTGCAATGCCCCTATACATCACACTGAGACTAGCTTGTAGAATTCAATTCAGTGAAGCGATATATCGAGATTGGGTCCACTTATAAAGAATTTAGGCAGTGTTCGCCCATTGGAGCTCTCATGTCCAAATATTTTCAGGTTTCAACAATAGAATTGCAGTGATAAGTAGGATGAGCAGAAACTTATGCAAACAAGCGTATATTTTTAATATAATTTTTTTCTTGAATTCTAGAACTTAAAATCAAATCAAATGACATATTTTGCAGAGTTGCTCTAAAAAAATATTCCAATCTCTTTAATTTGAATATACCAGTGAAGAAAAAACCTAAATGAATTCCTTGCTTTTCTGCTCGCTTCATCGTAATTGAAATTCTATTATTTATCACAAACTAATGCAGCAATGAGGTTGTTTTCTACAAAAAAAACCTTTTTTTTCTATGATCACTGTTTACCTTAATGTGCTATTGAATTATCAGCTAGAGTGAGAACTCTAGGAAAACTGGATACAAGAAATTTTGTGCGGAAGTGTTGTGGTGGAATGAAAAATTATATAGAAAGTTTATTAATGCACTAATCTCATAAAAAAATTGTGCAACTCCTTTCAGTGACATTGTGAAAACCCAGTTGTATTAAAAAGTTTTTTTTTGAAACTACACCTTCTATGTTGTATCGTGGCATCCGTTAGTTAACAAAAAATGAAACGAGTGATTTCATCTATAGAAAACAACCGAACCATGCGCATTGCAGGTTACATCAGTGACTTGTGTTATGCTTGCACTGCTAGGTGATGTGACTTGATGTGCCTCACTGATAAGCAATTTCTTAAAGAAGTAAACTTAATCTCGAAAGGGTGTTCACAGGTTCATCGGACTGTGCTCATTTACAGTCATTTTATGGAATAGATAATGCCTACGCGTTGAAGTAATGACCTACCGCGCAACGCAAGTTACTGTTCGTGATAATCCACTCGCCTTAGCTTTAACAGCTCGCTCTCATTGTGCACAGTGGACGGAAAAGAGCATTGGTTGCGGCTAATTAATTTTGCTTCGATCTACGGCCAACTGTTAGGTGTAAAACTTGATCCACGGCCAACTGCTAGGTGTAGGACCTAATCCGCGGCCAACTGCTGCGCATTTCTGGGCGACTAATCCTCGCTGGCCACTTGTTGCATGTCAAGTGCGCGAATTAATTGCTCCTGCGCATCTTGCATCTTCGAGGTTTGTTCTCGAAGAGAGGTGTATGGGCGGAACTCTTAGCTAGTGTGATACCACAGTTGGTGTCAGCCAAGAAGAACAGCAACTATACGATATGTATAGAAATTTTACTAGTACTAGTTTTTATTTTATGCCGGCAATTCGCGAGCGAGTCCTTTCTAAAAACGAAAACATGTTAATTTTACTTTTAGGCGCAAAAGCTTATTTCACAGCATTACCGGACCCGGTGACTAGGTCACGGTTAACGCAAAATTTCGATAAATCGCGGAATTTTATAGCTACTATCTATAGCTACTCACGGCTTTTCACGGCTGCTTTCACGGCACGATTCCATTTGCATATCACGGATCACGGGCATCCGGTGTGCAAGTCAAGAATAGCGCGCTTACTTATGCAAAAAAAACCAAGGCCTAATATATTCTACGAAAAAGATACTCGCTCGCAGGACTGTAATTTATGATTATCTACAATGTTAGTGCACACACTTATTGTTAGTTGAGATTAAAAACTCACGCGTTCGTTCAAACTTCCTTTTGATCAGAAGGAAGAGAGTCGTTGTGGTAGAGAGGAGGGAGGGAAGGAATGGGTAGTAAGATTTTGGAATTCCAACGACAGCGAATTTTTCAAAAGAAAAAAAAATCACTTTGCCTAAACTAAAAAAAATCTCACGGGACTTCCATGTCAGGAACAAGGGTTCATGACGCCCTTACCTGGTGTGTGTAGCGGTGTCTTACATAAGACTGGTTATTATATTTATTATATACATAAAGATACAGAGAAGGGAAAGGGAAGGGGAGCAGCTAGGCTGCACGGGGTGGAGGCGACTGCCGTGCCAGTTGCTGGCACGAGCTTATATATGCGACTGAGTGTAAACGGCTGGACAGTTGGTGGATGCTTCCGATAGCAAGCTACATCCAACTATAGGGTTACACAGCGTCTACATCCTGACACTAACGCCTTTTAGGTAAAAGATCATTTGTCAAACTAGAACAGTTCTACAAGTGTCTTTGGTGCCATTTTTGTCACTCTGCTCTTGTAATAAATGCCATTTATCAATCCAGAGGTGTTTGTCCAAGATAAGCTGGGCGCCTTTATCTGTCGTAGATGCCTAATTATGTTGTTCCTATTCCTTCTGCTTTCACCATGGGCTTACATTTTGCTCATCCTGCACACGCACCTTGAAAAAGCCCATAAAAACTTCCTGTTTCGAAAGTTCAAAACAATAACAGTTTTGGCAGTGCTGTTGTGAAATCCGCAAACACGCTCATGTAAATAGTGACTTCAAATTTCATACAAATCTACCAAGTCAACGATGAGGAAATCACCTCCAAAAAGCATCTGTCGAAAATAGTGTCGAGCCGGAATGATATTTGAAGCCCCATTTTATTCGTTCGCGGTAGAAACTGCTTGGAATCTGCTTTCGCTAACGTTATCCAAGAATTTTTATTTCATCGCAACCAAGAGGCAAAGCGGTGTGATGAGAATGATTCAACCCTACCTAAGCTCTCGCTTGCGAAAGAATCATTCGAAAATCCAATTAGAATGAGGCAAACCCATTTTTGACCTTTTTACACATTTTTAATTGCAATTTTTTGAGTTTTAAGGTAATAAGAAAGTGGAAAAAGTGTTGTCTTTTATGAAGTCTGAAATACATGTTTCTTTCTAAATTCATACAAACGCTATAAAAATCATGAAAGAAGGTTAAATTCACCAAAATATTTGCTAACAAACTCAAATGCTTCCAAATATAAGGTCGATGCGAAAATTTTCATGTAAATCAAATAAAGTTTGTTAACTCTTCAAATCATCAACCGAAACTATATTCATGGTTTGTATTTGAAATCAAAAAAGATATGCGTTTCAATATAATCACGCTAAGTATCTTTTGACTAACCTCGTAGAACCAAGCCTCAAAGACGGCACGGCACTTCAAACGCGATTTTGAGTTTGGTCGCAATTAGTGAAATGGCGCTAGCTAGCAAGAAAAATGCTGTGAAAAATTTCCTACTAGCGATAGTTCATATATTCAATTAGTGCTGAGAGATAAAGAAGAGCTAGAGTAGAACATTTGCGAAGTCATCTTTTGCAGGTTCGTAGTTTTTCCGAAGTGAAAAACTCTTTGGATTGTAGCGTCTATGAGATAAGCATTTCGATTCACAGATTGTGAAAGTCTAGCCAAACTTTGCTTTCTGCAGAACGCTCTACATACGAATTTGATTTGATGCAGATTCATGAAAACCTTGAAAAGCGAAATCCCAGATATCGCATGAATTTTAGTTTTGGAAGTACTAAATGCGATGTTGTGAGGTGTAAAGAAGTGCGAAAGAATACAATATCCACATGACTGACATTGTGATATTAGGTAAGCCCATTTCGCGGGGATTTCGTGGATATCATTCCAGAATTGAATGCGATCACATTCAAAGAGAATTGTTTTGTTATCATAACTTTGGCAATGACTAATGAATTTTCTAGGAAAAGCAATATTGGCGCTCTAGAAGAAAAGAGTATCTAATCTTGCATCTCAAACGTAATTATCAGTATTTGGCCAACAACCGAAAAGAATCAGCGGACTGGAATCTTTGGTTGGAAAAATAATTTTTTGTCTACGAGAATCTAACTGATTAGAAATGTGAATTCTCCCTGCAATCTTTTCTTCTTGATGGACGTGATCATCATAGAAGAGTTTCCAAACATGGGAAAGCCAATGCATGAGAAAAGCTGTTCTGTCCGCATTTTCGAGAGCATCTACAAGCAAAATCAAAGTCTCGAGCATATTTGCGATTTAGTCGCAACAACGGGCATTAGTATTATGCACACGCTTATAAAATGGAAAAATCATGTGAGATGAAAGGAGAAACATTTGTTTCCTTTTTAGCTTTGGACGCATTTACATCTTGATTGAGCCTTTAACAGCTTTACTTTTGGTTTTCGAACCTATTACCGCTTCTAAGAGACTTTTGTAGTCGAGCATAGGCGTTCATATTTTCCTTCTTTAAAGCCGTCAATGCTTATTTGCGCTGACATCTGTCCAAAAAGTTTTCTAAAAAAAAGGTTCATAGCATGAGCGAGAGAAAAAAGAGAAGAATGAAGCAGTTGAAACCCAAAAATTCTCATTAGTGAATGCGAAGTTGAAGTTTAATCTTTTTATCGAACAAAGACGCCAATATTTATACGTATATACAAACAGCTAAAGTGAAGGAGCCTATGCAAAGAAGTGCTAACCCAATAGGAGAAGTAGTGGATTACATAGTAAAACGGTGATAAGGCCAATTTTAAAGCATGAAAGATTCGAATGACTAGCAGTGCCCTACATTAGCACTTTCCATAAGACCAGGGAAAAGAATATTGAAGAATAGTCGAGAGCCAACTTCGCCTATGAGAACAGCCAAACACAGCCATACATTGAATGTCATGAAGATGAGCATAAGACAGTAGGAGATGGCAAGCTGTACAAAATGCATCATTCCATCCATCAATACATAGCCTGTGACGGTCGGCTCGAATCTGGAATTGTTGAATATTTGGCTTCAGACGTTTTTACATGTTTTCATCGAGATGGCTATGGTACGGCTTAAACTATTAATTGGTGGAAAAAACACCTGGATATATCTACAACTGAAAATGTTTTTTTTTCTTGGAGGAAGAGCTTTTCACTGTTTAGTACGGCATTTTGAACCAATAGCTCATAGATTCTGCCAAAGGGAGAAGATCACCTGTTTTGGGATACAAATTTCATGGTTTTGCTTAAATCGCATATCACTAACCATTTCCCACTGATGTTTGCCGGTATCCTACTTCTGCTACTCAAGCGTCCAAAGCTTGTGTAGATGGAACTACCAGTCAAAAAAATTGAAAAAGGGACATAAAGTATAATGATGGAACCAAAAACATTAGCTTCAAGATAAAGCGATCACCGAAATGTTTGTTGTACCACCTACCTAATACCTACCTAATGCGGGAAGAAGTTATTGACATCATTGTTATTTCGCTGAACTTTCTCCATAAATCATATTTTTCAGAAACAAAGCGCGCCGGCAATGGTGGAATTTTTTCAAAAAAAAAGGAGTATGGCCATGACCACAAAAGAATTTTTTCACACAGCTAATTCGAATTTGCCCTTCGGCTTACCACCGGCTCAAGCATAATTGCAGTTTATCTAGACAAACGAATGCGATGGGAAGCTTCAGCGGAACCGATTTCTTGCCAGTTTACTCACCTTATCTGATTCTCCATAGACGGAGGTCTTTGTGCCGCTCTATAAGTCCGTAAGAACCTCAACATCTCCATGAAGAAGCACATAGCTACGACGATCAAGCACGATACAATCATTCCTGGAAAGAACTCAGTTTTTCACTAGTTTTATATAATCAATTGAATAGAAGGAGAGACAAAAAAGATTTTTAACATGACCATTTCTTCTTTTAATTCGGACTTTTGTCGGATTTTATAGTGGGAACTCAAAACATTTAATATTCACCTCCAGTGCTCATGGGCATCCAGAAATTAAACAAAATTGTTTCCATGCTTCCAAAGTGAAATGCCATTGAATGCATGGATCCATGCCCACCCACAAGTGGTGCAGGGGTTGCTGCTTGCCCAATATGGCCGGCGTGACTGCTATGATCCATCTGAAAACTTCTTTAATAGACTCTTTCTGAGTGAAAAATGAGCTTGACGAAGAGGGAGCGACATAATAAGGGTTTGACATGGTTTCACGGAATTGCAGGGGTTAATTCCTATTCCAGGCCTATCGACCTTGAGCAGAGAGCAGATGAAAGATTCCAGTTTTCAGGAGCATCAGCGTGGCATAGTTCCGAAAAAATGGGAAGAAACCATTCAGTGATGAGCAATTCCTATGGGAAGAAAGAAATGGAATTTTTGAGAGAAAAGATGAAGGGGCAATCAGAAATGGAAAACACAAATAATATGATTGGAGATCAAATCAACTGATTTTTTGCAAACAGTTTTAGCGCTAGAATAACTTAAGTTCTCAGCCAGAATAACGTACAATCTTTCGTGATACGTTGCTACATTAAAAAATCCTGAGTGGCTTGTTTTCAAGTTTTTTACATTTCAAAATGATTCTTCTTTCTCAGCATGGAACCGAAAAAAATTCGATAGACAGTCTGTCAAGGTCAAACAACCTTGACCACGCTAAATCTGCGCGAGAAGAGAATGCTTGTAATTACTTCTGCGGTCTGGTGAATGGATAAAAATGTTTCATGAAAAATAAATGATTGAAAAGATCAAGGTCCACAGCAGGTTTGCTGATTTGATTGTTTATGTGATGGATTTGTCAAAGCGGACGAATTTTGGTAATAGAAAACTTGAGCGAGAAAAAAGGATGATCGGAGGAGATGGTCGGTATGAACGAAATTTCTAAACACAGTCGTAACGATAACGCAGTACCTGAAATAGAAAATTAGAGAACCGAATCTTTCGGAAAACACCCTAGCGTGCGATCACGCATGCCAGAGCAATCGTGTGACCCGGCTATTACACTAGGATACTAGCGGTTCCGACTCGAATACCTCGCAATTTCAACATTTACGATTTATAGCGACGATTAGCTAGTGGTAGGTAAAAAGCGGTTACGATATGTAGCGTAACTAATTGATCACAAAAAATTAGCCACTTTGGTTCGGATAGAGATTAATGAGGATGTAAATGAGCAGAATGGCTGAAAAGAAGAAGATTTTTACAAATAAGCTATCAAGGAAACGAAGCAACACCTCCAAAAACATAAAACTTGAATTATAACTTGAGTTATAGATAACTGAGCAATTAAGGTCAATCTCGCTGTATAAATTGTAATTCTAGTTGTCAATTTAAGTTGAAAACAAGCAGAACTTGCACGCAACACTCGCTACTTTCCTCAGAGTCCTGATAATTAGGGAAAAAAGACAAAGATAATTTCTTATCTGCCGCTCAAATAGATGAGAGATCATCCTGTTGGATTTACTGTTGCTTTGCGTATTTTGTTTCCTTTCAAAGAATACATAATCTGAATTTCTCAGAAACGGAATATATCGATCTAGATAAGGAAGAAAAAAAGTTGTTAAGCACTGATTGACCGTGTTTCAATAAGCTCACAACCAAATACTAGAATGATTATAAGTTTATGATTTTAAGTAATTTTGACGCAGCTTTATTCTAGAAAAGAATAAACCTGAGTTAAAATTTTCAAGGTGTAGAAATAAATCAAAATAATCGAAAACTCAGGATATTGTAAATCTCATACAGGGTGTCCGTAAAAAATGTGCCTACTGTTTGATTGTGAATAACTCTCTTCTAACGAAGTCTTTCGAGAAGCTTTAGGCACCATTTTGTAGAGCTGGCTTCAACTTAGATTTACAGTATAGAGCGAAACGCCGATCTCTCATTCTTACTGTAGGATTACGGTAGAAAATTTAAACATATGGTGTCAATGTGAAAAAAGCTGCCATTTCAAAATTTTTCAAAAAAATGTGAAGTCTTGTGCAATAAGGTTTTCATGGACGCTGAGTCCAATATTCAACTAGTCACAAGATTGCGAAGCTATTTAAACGGTGTAACCGCGCTTTTTAGCGACATTGAAAAAATGGCCGCTACCTCTTACCTGGCATAAATCTACAATGAAGCATCATTATAAGTTGGGAATTTCACAGTTAGAATCGGCAACTCTAATTAGCCTAGTGTAAAAGTTTTCAGGCTGTTTTGTTTCCTTTCCGAGGCAAAATATGGCCTTTCACGGCTCAAAACCCCTTTTTGAAGTTTCCACCGTAATCCTACAGTAAGAATGAGAGATCGGCGATTCGCTCTATACTGTAAATCTAAGATGAAGCCAGCTCTACAAAATGGTGCCTAAAGCTTCTCGAAAGACTTCGTTAGAAGAGAGTTATTCACAATCAAACAGTGGGCACATTTTTTACGGACACCCTGTATAAAGTTCCACTACCGAACTAATAATATCTATGATAGTTGAGCAATTGCAAGCCAGCACATCAACATAGAAAAAAAGGTGAAACTGCCTTCCGTGTACCACTTAAAAACAAAAACAAGGAAAGCAATGCAATGTCGATGGCGGTCTTTCAATCTCTTAATAAAGTTTTGAAACAATCTTTGTAACAAATGCATATTTTGCATGGCTAAGCATAAAAGATGTGCATTATTAACCTTACAACATGAGAGTGAAAGTAATAGTTTGTGACGAGCAATCAATCATTTTGCGTACATTTCAATGGCGACAGTTTACATTAACTAAAAACAAATGCTGATCAATCCTTCGTCGTACAGAAACACGTACATTCTGCCTAAATTCCAACAAAGCAAATATTACATTAGCTTTGTGGAGCAGTTTCAAATATGCCGCATTTGAATTGTGCTTCCCTTGTTCGCAAATTTTTGATACCGTAAGAGCGTAAGACTATAGCTGTGAAGAAGAATAATGAAGCCGTGACAAAGCCCTTTCGCACCTTCTACTACATAGCAAAAAAAGTATAACCATACAAGGCAGTGGCGATCGCAGGATTTCCGTCCGGGAGGGGAGGGGAGCAGAATTTTTTTTAAAATGAAGGTGCGTGGCGGCAGCCGCGGCCCCGAAAAAGTTTCTTAGAAAGCTATTTGAATTTTCTAAGATAAGATTTCAAAAAAGGTTATATTAGGCTGTCCCGAAAGTTTTGTCCGATTTTTCATCGCTCACTAAAACTCGCAAAACAGCAATTCACGGATGGCTTAGATACCATTCAATTCAGATTTTATTCTCTTTCTTACAGATATATTTGCTCTCAAATCTAAACTGTCTTTGCAATCTTATCGCCATGGATTTTTGAGCAGCTTAGCAGTTACCCCATATCTTTCCTGAATTTCAAAAATTTTTATCCTGATGTTTTCACAGAGCTAACTGTTATGTAGAGCAATCCTTTGGCCACATTGTACTTATTTTAGATTACATTGATCACGTTTATCAAGTCCGTTATAATTATTTATGTAATAAAAACCGCGGCTTTTTGATAACGTTTACCGCGTGAAAGTAATGAAAATCCCAAAAAGCTGCTTTTTCAAAGGGAATCAAACTTGGTTATATTGCATAAATGATGTTTAATAAGAATCATGTTACATTTCACAGAAATTTCATAAGCTTTCGTGTATTTGCTGCAGTTGCGAGTTCCAGGACTTGGCCAAAATCGAGACCTCCGAAAAAAATAATTTTTTGAGGCTAAAAACAGCAGACTAGAAAAATATGAAAACACCAACCTAATATTTTATTTATTTATAAGGTTATGCAAGTCACTTGCATTTTTCTATATCGCGTGTAAGTAAATTTCAAGAATTTCGCGACCCATTCCCCGCGCTCATTCCTTTGTCCCCCCGCCCCCCCCCCCCTTGGTCCGCCAATGATCCACGGGTGTTTCACAAGATTTCCCACTGATCTAAAATATCTCCCTTGTCCCGTTCTCTTTCGCCGATCTTTAGGTACCATTTTGCAAACCTAGCCTTAACATAGATCGAAAAAATTTCAAACACTCAAAGTCTATTGTAGTAGGGTTCCTGAAGACGCTGTTTCCAGCAAAAAATTCCATTTAGGATTCAAGGACATTTCAAACGGTGTGATCAAGTTTCTGAAAAATTTTGAGAATATTGTTCTTGATGTAACTTTTGCAACTTTCGAACAAAAGTTTACGGTAATGCGCAGCGCTTATTCCGTCAGCAATTCTAATTTATCTGGGGGATAAATCCAGCTTTTTGAAGTTAGCGATTTCATGTTTCATGGCGCAAGACCCTCCCTCAAGTTCTTAATCTAGTAACGAAATTTCATTGATTCCGTTGAAATGCAAGTCCAAATTAAAACGAGCTCTATAAAGCGGTGACCGAAGCCCATCAAAAGACATCAGAGCAGGAGCGTCAGATCGAACAGCAGACACATTTTTAGGACATTCTATATATCTGGCCCTTACAAAATAAGGTTTGAAGATTGAGTAAGAGATACAGACAATAAATATGAATAATCCTGATAAAATAGAGGCCGTTGCAACATTTTAGATTTCCGTTTTCGCATAGCATTTTCCTTAAGATAAGACCTACACATCTCGCAGAAAAAGTCGTAGACATCAGAAACCAGATTTGGTGAAACCACGGAATTTTTTTTCGCACAATCTCCTATTTTACAAACTGTCCCTTAGTCGCACTTTGAAATCATTCACTTTTCCAAACACAGACTGTTACTGGTATGATTAGCGACAAGTTTTATTTGCTCGAGGAAATGAGGCTTTTTCTATCATCAAAGTGGTTGGGCAATAAAAGTTAGCTTTTCATTACGGTCACGCTAGTTTATAATTGCTTAAGCAAAATGGAAGATATTAGGACAAGCAATGGAGGGAACATGGAAAAGTTAGAAAATGCAGTATGCTCCAATATATCTCTGGAGAAAATGTCGAGAGATGATCAATAAGAATGGCGCAAACATGGCGAAGCACATGATTATTTAGAGTGAAGTCCTGTACTTTCCGAAGTTTTGAGGGATACTTTGTGCACTGTTATTGAAACCATCCGACTGAAAAAACTCGTTTCGAGAGCACCTGAGGGAATCAAAGACCAGCCTAATACTGTCAAAAGATTAAGAGTTGAGCATAGAAAGGAATCGTAACGGATGTAAAAAAAG